CTGCTGTGGTGGTGGGTCTTGTATGGATTGGGCTTGATGCAGTCCAAAACTAGAAAGTTACAGAGGTTCATCCACCTCTTGTGATGGATGATCTTACTGGCTAGTATTTTTTTATATTTTTTTCCTTTGTTTAACTTATTTAAGGCATCCAAAATCTTACTCAACTTCCATTCTAGCTTCTCTTGAGCTTTTTCTATCCTCTCAAGATGATTAAAATTTTTTTATTTCATTTGTCTGGCTCAAGTTCTTGTATTATATTGGTAAGTTAGTTGTGTAGAGTTTTTGTTTGGTGGAGTTATCCTTAAACCTTGAGTACTACAATTATGTATTATTAGAAATGCTATGCTTTATGCATGATATGTTGATGCATGAATGAAATGTACATTTTCATGGATGAAATCTAATATGAAAATGATGTCGATGCACAATGTTAAATATGACAATAAAAATGATGCATGATATGATAATGCAAATGCACAAAGTCAAACAAAATGGTTAGATAAGCAATATATCACACAAATTATTCCTTCTTGTATCCTAATTTCAGGGTACATCTATTGATGGGTGGGAATGGCTCTATCTTCAGGCTGGCCTTTTAAGTGCAAACTATATGCTGAGTTAGGTAATTTTAACTACTAAAGGTTCTCAAATTTTTTTTATATCATCATTCATCATAGACTAGTAAGGCAGTCCAATCCTCACCCATCATAGGCTACTAACGGAAATGATTTAATTTAAGTGAGAGTATTTTGCTAACCATTACGAAGATTATCATTTCACGAGAGCGTAGGTACTTTACTCATTTCTAAGAAAGACAGAGCCTGGGTATAGAGTTCATGTAATATAAATGCATATGATAATGTGTGTGAATGAACATAAAATTATCAACCCCCATAAATAAAATAAGAGACAAAAAAGAAAAAAATGTTAGTAAACAAAAAAACATAATTATTGCACTTTACAACCATTAGACCTAAAGATAGGATAAACTTAAAATTATTATGGCCTAACTCTCTATAGCGTCCCCAGTGGAGTTGTCAAACTATCATAACATATAGATCTGTAAATTTATAGCTAGACACAAAGTAAGGAGTCACCACCAATCTTTTTTACTAGGTGTGATTGGCCACCTAATGAATCTATCCTCTTAAGGAGCTCCTAAGCTTTACTAAAAGTCCATAAAAGAATAGGTTCGAGTCTATTAACCAGAACAAGGTTCGAAAGTTTAGTTATATATGAAAAAGGTTATAACACCCCACATGCCCATCCAAATGATAGTACCATCTTATTTTAAATTTATCCTAAGGTCTTGATGCTAATAATTTTAAATTTTATGTTAAAATGTTGAAAATAATTCGTAAGATTTTTCATCAATCTAGTAAAATTCTTAAAGAATATTTTCTTATCTTAAAAGTATTCAAGGATCTCATTTGTTTCCTTGAAGAGGTTCCGTCGTTGGAAAAAAATTTTTTGTTAGTATTATTTTTTTGTTTTTTTAATTTGAAAATATATCTAATTATTTCACAATTTGAGTCAAATTAGAAATATTTTCTCTTTTGAATTTCTAAATTTTCACCATTTAGGCTTATTTAGAAATTCTCTTTATTTATTTATTTATTTTTGGATTTCTAAATTTTTCACCATTTGGGTCAATTTAAATTTTTTTTTAATTTTCTTCTCTTTTTTTATCTTCGAAAGGAAAATAATATGACAATTATTTTTTTGAAGTTTCATTTAAATTCTTCCATCATTTAGGACAAATTTAAAGAAATTTCTCACTTAGAGATTTCTTAAAAAATTTACCATTTGAAATTTCTAAAAATCTCATCATTGGATAATTGTCACATATTTTCAACCAAAATTTTATTTTTTTTATTTTTTTATTTTTTTGATTGAAAATAAATATTAATTATTGTTATTGAAAGTTTATCTAATTATTTCACAATTTGGGACAAATTTAGAAACAAATTTCTCACATAGAAAATTTATAAAAATTTACCATTTGAAATTTTAAAAATTTTATCATTGGATAATTAATATATATTCTCCAAAAAACATTTTATTCTTGTTTTAGACTTTTTTTTTATTTTTCTCCAAATTTATTCATGCAAAAAATACTTAAATAAATAAATAAAAGAAAAAAAACTAAAATAGGGAAACGGCTCAATTCCAAGCACAAAAAGCGGTTCAGGGGATGCAGCTTGGCGACTCGGCTCGACTCAAAGGATCGGTTGGTACACGGTTGGCAAAAGCAGGTTGCGCTCAAGTCGAGTTGCTCGAATAAAAACACGTGAATTTTGGGGCCCTTTAAATGCCAAAACGACGTCGTTTTGCTGGGGTATAAATAGGCCAAATTCCTTCTTTTTCCCTCAGATATCTCTTTTCCCTCTCTCTTCTCCTTCTTTTCTCTCCTTCTCTCTCTAAAAACCTAGAAGAACTTCAGTTGAATATTCACCATATTTTGGAAAATGTTACCAAAATCTAAGTTTGTTCATTGGAAGTCAGTCGGAACTTCACCAATTTTTGGTAATCTGTTGTTAAAAACTAGGGAATACGTCGAAATCTAAGAATCATATCGAAATGTGGTTGGATTCTGGAAAACTTGCTGAAAAATTCAATCGGCGTAAGAAATTCATTAAAAAATTCAACTAGCATTGAAAAGTTTATCGAAAAACTAAAAATTTTTCAAAAAAATTTCCAAAAAAATCCTCTTTTTTAACCCTAAAAATCTTTCGATTACTTTCTGTCTTCCCTTGCGTGATGCTTTTCTACCTGTGTTTTTGGTTTTTTCTCTGTATTAACGCCTAATGCACCTCTGTATTTATAGGGTTCAAGATCTTAGATCCCTAAACTGAAAAGGAGTTTCAACCCCTTCAATCTTCAATTCTGAGTTTATCTCAACTTTAATAACCCCGCAGAAACAATCCAAAATAAATCCAATCACCTAGAATTTTTCCTAATTTTTCGTTCTACCTTTTTTTCACTATTATTTTTAATTAATAAAAATAAACAAACCCCGGACAGATCGGGATATCTACATTTACATGTCTTATTATACTATTAAAAATTATATCAATACTTTTAATTGTATAAACTTTGAGGAAGGATAATTTTAATCAATAAATAAATTATTCTACCTTAATCCTTATAGACATCAAATATAAGATATGATGGTATTATTTAATCTAATTCTATTCATACTATCATTTTATCCTATTCTATTAGAATTTTGTATACCAAATATGATCTTAGTGTGTTACAATGGCAAACATATGATTAATTCTTGACTCACGTACTGATTTCCTCCTCTAATGTCCCAAGCCCCTGTTAAGTCTTATAGATGAACCAACATCCATGATGAAAGCACCTATTTGTGAAATGGCAATTAATATCTTGGATACCAAAACATATATACCCTTAATGCCCTCTGGATCAGGTTCAAATCCTAAATTCCCATAGAACTCCACAACTGCAATGAAATATAACAAAATTATTTGAAGCAATTCAACAATTTATATACATATAAACATACGGTATAACTTGTCAGCGGTAACAAAAGGGCCAATCTGTTTTAACCTTTCAGATTGGAATTTAATTTAATTTCATGGCAGTTAAGTTAAATTTAAAGGGTTTGATACCTTGACTATCAGCAAAAAGTGCTATATTACCATCCCTACGTAGAAGAGTCCTTAACAGCTTTTCAACCATGTCCTTACCCGGGACTTGGCCCTGCATTGCATGTATACTCTTAGAAAGCAACATTGAAGATTCCGTGGAATTTTTCTATAAAGTCTAAATCATTTTCCTTGGGAAGGAGGGAAAAGATTCCAAGTACTTGGTCTACAAATATCACCTAGCATTGAAAAAGATTGTTGATATCCTAAATTAAAAATAATAGAATATTGTTTTGATGATAAGACCTATTCAATCTGGACTTCATTTGATTTAAATAGTTATTGCCGTTTGGTTAATACTAAGTTCCTTTATTTCCCAAAGTAGCCAAAGTCTCTATTTTACACGTCAAAGGCACAATCATGATCAGCTATTCCAGTAATAAGTAGATATCCTTTTTCCCAATCATAAAGCACAAATGCCTTACGGTTATTTTAAAAGAGAATTTTAGCTTATTGACAAAGAATTCCCCTTTTAACTATGAGATTTTCAAAGATCTATCCAGATCTATGGTGTTGAGGAAATGCCCCTGACGTAAATACCCCTCCAAATCCCATGATTTAGATTTAGATTTCGATTTCGAGGAAATAACGACACCATTGAAAATTTCTTATGGAATAGTCTTTCGTAATTATTGTTCACCATAATATGTTGGTGGTCCATCTTAGAGCTGTTTTTTGGTTTTTTTCAATTGATTAAATTTCCTAGTCTTTGGGCTCAGTTTCCATTGAAATTTTCAACTTGTTGCATTGAATAGTAGTATGTGGAGGTTCGGTTGTTTCTTTTTGAATTACTAGTACCTTTTCTTTTATGAAAAGGGTGGAGGGAGCAAGCATTAACTAATTAATTGTAATAACGTGATGTAATAACTAATTCATAGTCGAAATCGGTTGAAGAAGCAGGCAGGTGTTTACCAAGAAAGAAAGATCATGACATTCCCATTCCTTTGCTTATATAATTCATTCTATATCGATATGGAAATGTCAAGTATCAATCCCATCCGGGGGAATGAGACAACCAGGTCAGCACCATTCACCTTAACAAAAGGAGTTCTCCTTTGACTATGAAAATATGAATATTACAACAATTTTTATCCTTTTCCAATACCCAATAGCCTTTAGTCAATGCTATGAGAAAATAAAGTATAATGTAATTTTCAATGTTCGCTGATTCATAGAAGTATAATGTAGAGTTTGGTGGGAATTTGTCAGGAAACAAGTGAAAGCACCAAACCTTGTGATTTTGTACGGTAAGTCGAGGTAAAGGTTTTATTTTGAGTACCACTTCTCGAGGTTATTATGATTTATCCAAGCAAAGGATCATTCAACATGGGGATGATATTACCGTAAGACCTGTCCTGGATATTCATTTCATCAAGAAATTGTAGAATGTTTTTACTACTAAGCAATGTGAAATTGTTATGAGATAATTAAATTCAAAGTCATTCAAAAAAAAAATCTGAAACACTATCTTCATTATTAGTGATGATATTCTATTATTTTCCAGACAAAATGCACAATTTTAGTATTTACATACATAGCTATTGGTTTCCCATTTTTCACGTAAAATTAAAGCCATATACAGTGACTGAGCAGCCTCATTACATTTGCTTTCAAAATATTCAACATGATGAACTGATGAGAGCACATTTGATTCCAACATTGAGTAAACAAGGCTGCTTGCATCAGCGAGGCTTGATGGTGGGGATTACACCGCTAACAAGTTCACTTCCTATGATTTCAGTGGTCATTTGGGGATGGGAATTCTTTCCAAAGTAGAGATGCGATGAGCCAACCCCTGACACTTCGGAAATGGACGCATCTGACTCTGTTGGAATCATGTCGGACTCCGGAAGCAGTGAACATAAGTTCTCTAACTCTCTCACAACTTCCAACATTGTCGGTCGTTCCTTGGGATCATCCTGGCAACACTTCAGGGCCAGTGCCATAAATTTCTTGATGATTTCAGAAGAGTATGAACCCATGCTCCGGTCTATGATGGAAAACATCAATCCTGATTGACAAGCTCCATAAACCTGTAGTACACGTTTACTTATGATTTCATAAAAGAAAAAAGTTCAGGATTTCCAGATTGCTTGCCTGAATATGCTTATTTAACAATGATTCAGCAACAAATCCAGAGAAGATTTACGATTTAGAATGCAAACTTGTAAACTATAATATCATCACAGTGTTTCTAACTATTTTTTCTATTAAGAATATTGAAATGAATTTAGAGAAAGAATCAGATAAGGAAAAATATGTTTCACCTGACATTGATACAAACTCAATCACCAAAATCAATCAGGTATAATTATTACAGAATGATAAAGCTTAAAGATAACTGTTTTTTTTTTTTTCTTTTAGAGAAAAATCTTCCAGCAAAACTGAATAAAGTGCTTGCAGTGGAATAATAATTAGTACCTCTCGGACAATGTTTCTGCCATGAGAGATAGGCGGCATCCCTGTCAAAAGTTCCAGAAACACTATTCCAAGGCTATAGACATCACTTTTCTCTGTCAACGTGTGAGTCAAGAAATATTCAGGATCCAGATAGCCCTATACAGAAAACAAAATGGAAGTAAACTTCATGACAAATCAAAATAATTAACTAACAAAGCAGCATAAATATCCGACTGCAAGCAAGAACTCATGCTTCAACTGACGGGTGTATCATTTCTCAAAAATTAGGTGCAAAAAAGATATTTTTAACTGCAGCTCAAGCCATTGTATGAGTTCCAGGTCACTCAGAAATTGGAAGATTAAAGTCCAAGGTTTCTGTTATTGGGTGAAAATTAAATCCCAGGTGTTGTATAATGTAGAACTAAGTTATGCTAGTTTGCCTGTGGGAAATGTGATATAATCACAAAGCTCTTACTGGTGTGCCTTTCACAACTGTGGATACATGAGCAGCAGCTCCTTCAGTATCTGGTACTGGTGCAAGCCTTGAGATTCCAAAATCAGAAACTTTAGGAGTAAACTTGAAGTCCAACAATATGTTGTTTGCCTTGATATCCCGATGAATTATTGGTGGGTCAGCTTCAGTATGTAGGTAGAGGATGCCTTTGGCTGAGCCCAATGCAATGTGCAACCGCATGGGGAAACTCAAGGTATGCCTGCATCCATCTGTGATTTCCTCACATAAAGCAATGTGAAATTTTGCAACAACATAAAGCAACAGTTAAAATCATTGAAGTGGAAGATAATATTGGTAGATTTTCAGACAAATATCAAGATGAAGTCAAACAGCATGTACAATTAGGAAAATGGTCAGGATTTTCAGAAAGTATACATTTGAAAGAAACCACCTATACAGTTTTGGCATAGGAAAGGTATCGCTATATTTAGCTTGTAGTTTCATTCTAAAAGGTAAAAACCTCTCGTGTGTGAAAGTTTTATCATGTTTAATTTACATTGCTGATCCAAATGGCATTATTCAAACCATGTGCGTCCACACAACTTGATTAACACAACTGTGCTCTCAACATCAGAAAGCTGAAGAGAAATTTACCTGAGAGAAGATCATGGAGAGAACCATTGGGCATAAACTCATATACTAACATCTGAGAACAAAAAAAAGCCAAAAATTAGCCTTTCTTTTTATACAGATATCAGGTATTGTTGTAGATGCATCTGACTTAAGCGGAATTTTTATCCCTTTTTTCATGAAAAGGGGCAATAAATTCAGTATATCTAACACTTGCATAGTCAGCCAATATGATCCGAGGAGCTTTAAAAGGATCCGGAGGGAATATCCAAATTTTATTGTAACCTTGAAATGTAATACGAAAGATATCCATGGCATTTAAGCAAGTCTGCACCAAGATTCTACATTTATGAGATAAAAGATATTGATGATAGCTCAAATGAAATTCCATGGGTTAGGGTTCTTTTTTTTTTTTTTTGTGATGGAATCGGTTAGGAATTTAAACATATGGGCTCTTCTCATGATTTCATTGACAGATGGGTTTTTTTTTTTTTTTTCTTGTTCAACTTTTGTTTCCCTTGTACTCAGTTATATTGGTTTGTAACCTTGAAATGTAATACGAAGGAACAGCCATGACTGCACCTGCTCGCCTTGTTCGATACAATATCCAACCAAAGAAACCAGGTTCCGATGATGCACTCGCGACAACAGTTCTATTTCAGTTATAAATTCTATCTGACCCTGCAAAGATCCTTGTTGGCCACGCTTAATTGCCACTACTGTTCCATTAGCCAAAATGCCTCTGTAAACCTTTCCGTAGCCTCCTTGACCAACTTGAGTGGTATCGTTGAAACCAGTTGTAGCTGCTTCAAGTTCTCCAAAGCTGAAGTCCTTAACACTATCAGTTCCGATCGGAATTTTTGCAACTGCAATGGGGATGAAACAGTAACAAGGAGGAGGATAAATTAGGTAATGATCATTGCCTTTATATATGACAAGAAAGAGATAATAGCCAGGCGATTGAGAAATTACATGTGGACTTACTTGACTCTTTTTTTGATATGTCATGCCCGGATTTGGTGCTCCATATATAGAAGAGGACCGTAACTGTCGAAGATATTACACCTACAAGGGACATGACCCCTAAGATTATTCCGATTATGGCACCTTTACTTATTCCTGATTTCGAGGACTGGGGATAAACTGCAATAACAAGAATCATTAAGCTAAAAATTGAAGTATACTTGAAAACTACTGGAGCACCTTGTTCAACGTACAATCTACTATATATATATATATATATATATATATTAATAAGAGGGTAGCAATGGGAAGTGAAGAATAAAAGACAAAAGGATTTATGTACATGCCTAAATTTAGAGTAACAATTGTAATTAACATGCATAATGTTCATTGAAAGCTGTAAAGCCATCTGACTTCATTTTCTACCTTCTGTTTTCCTTTTTATTTTCTATTCATGATTTTTTACCCTAGCCAAAGTTTTTGTTGCTGATCAAAGGAAATTTATATTTGTATCTTTCCAAAAATAGAAAAAACAAAAAATTAAACGAGTGTATTGATGAGTTAGTAATGATAAGACACTGATAAGATGATCCTTCTTCCTTCATACTATAATTTATAGGAAAAAGTAAATAACATGCAAAACCTCCTATAAAAGACTACAACTTTCTAAGCCGAGACTTATAGCAAAAACTTTTTCCTGTTGCATAGAGTACTGTGCTATCTTTGACAATGACAAACGACGTACAGGATTTGCAATACATGATGATTAGCTGCATTAATAAGCGAAAAGTGTTTTGTTGACAGTTAAGATCATCAGTTATGCTTCTTGTTTTCTGTTTCTCATTTTTTTCTTTAACAGCAAGTAAAAAAACTGGTTTGATGAGATCTTTTTGTTCAAAGAAATAAAAGGAAAAGAAAAGGAGTCATTTATGATAATCCTGAAAAAGAAAAATGAAATTGAACTGTAAATTTGTAAAGGAAAAATTAGATGCTTGATTAGAACCAAACAAAAAAAATTGAGGAACAAGAAAAGAATGATACAGTAATGTAGAGATACCATTTGAGTAAAGTCCGAGTGTAAAACTGAGCAGCTCATATGAACCAAAGATGTCATCCGGAGGAATTGAAAGTGTAGCAATCATGTCTTCGATCTGTTGTACCTCAGTGTCATTGAATTTATGAGTCTTGTTGCTATATTGATATTGAGGGAAAAATTTTAAATACAGCAGTAGCCTAGGACCCGTTTGCCATATAAATGATTCCACAAATAGTTGATAAAGATCCAAGCTGAGATTGGACGTAATGAACATCTTATATGAATAAATATATGGACGAAAATCTGATATGGTAGGACTTTTTAAGCGTAACGTGACTCCTAAAGGTGCAGCACAGAAGCAAGGATCAGGAGATTCTGGGACATAATCATAGTTGTCACCGAGAGGACAAGATTGAGGTAGGCAGCTGTCATTATAGTTACTTGAGCTTCCATTTCCAGATACAAAATCATCATTTCCAAGAGTAATTCGACAGAATTGGGCTATGTTTAGTTGATTTGCTAAGGTACACACAGGATTGCCCTGGAGCCTAAGTATCCAGGAAGCACTAATTAGAGATTATCAAAGTATGTGCAACTGTTATGTTAAATTAATATATTACATAGCTTTACATGTACAGAAAAATAAAAGAAAATAAAAAAAGAATCAAGGCTCACCTAATTGTAACATTTGAAGGAGGATCTATTCTGCCTGAAAAATTTGAAAGCGAATTACTCCGGAAATCTCTGCAAGTAAAGCATGTGCACAGAGGACCAGGCAAGTCAAGCGATTCATCCACCATGCTGGACGTAGTTAATCTCAATAGCATAACAGATATCATAGATCTCTCAACAATATCCTACTTTTGTATTTCTTTAAGTAACTTTTTGCAATAAATGTAGCTCAAAATGATAGCTTTCTCCCCTAATGACTTACATGATAAGTCTTGCCTTAGCAGTAAAATTTACATTTCGCCAAATAGTGAAGGGAACATCTCCACTTAACGAATTGTTTTCCAGTGACCTGCAACAAAAAGCAAGTCTCATTAATTAGTCTGTTCTTCTTGCTATCATTCAACTTGTGTAAGATAGTCCACAATAAAATAATTCAATCAATATTGCTGAAACATGCAATATGAAATTCTTGTAAAGGAAGTTGGCAGTAAAAAAAAAAGATTAATTCTTACAATCTCTGAAGATGAGGCAGGCCTGAAAAGTTTGAAGGGATGGATCCGTTCAGCAAATTATAAGATAGATCACTGCCCCATTCAAAGAACAAAAACAATGATGATCCATTTTATCACATCAATGAAAAAGAGTCATTTTATCATATCAATGAAAAAGAAAATTCATAAAATGGCAACAGCAGCTAAAATTCGTTCGTGTGTGCGTGTGTCAGAGAGGGAGAGAGAGAACTGAGTTTTAATGACTTTGTACATCAACAACCCTTACATAGTTGTGATGTTATCAGAAAGCTTATTCATTGGGATCCCTCCAGTAAGTTGGTTATGGCTCAGATCACTGAAAATATGAACAGCACAAATAAGTGAGATATACTTAAATTTGGTAATCAGCCGAAAACTATTTAAATTGTTTAAATCATCATGCATACAGAACAACATCAATGTCAAATGTCAAGCGTACAAAATCGCAGTATCTCATTATGACTAGCTTGATATCAACAATAGACCAAAGAAACTGGTAAAAATATTAACACACAAACAGGCATGTGACTAAAGGAACCAATTATAGAACACTCTTAAAAAAGCCCAAAGACTTACAGATAACGAAATGTTGTAATACTACTGAAATCAGGAATAGCTCCATGCAAGCTGCAGTTCCTAAGACTTCTGTTAAGATGAATGGAATAAAATTATGCACAAATTTAGCAGTTTGGGGAACATTATAAATTTAAAAAGAGGAACTGTAAAAGAATGTGAAGACACAAGACTATGAGAGCCCATGCTACAACCCTTGACATTTTACTATTATTAGTATCCTTTTTCCCCTATCTGAACAACATGTTTGATGGCATATTTTGAAAGGAAATTAACCCATGAATAAACTGAAAGTCAATAGAGAGGGAGAAACAGAAGCTGACAGTTTCAACAGGTTGGGCATGTTGCCGTAAGAAGCAGGAATCTCTGTTCCACCAAAATTGTTATTATCAAGTTGGCTGCATTAAAAGGAAATGCTAGTATGAGAATTAATCATAATTCCATTCAAGGAAACCATATTTATTTCAGTAGACAGCATGAATATGGAACAACTTTAGGAAAGAGTATCTGAAACCAAATGATGAAGCTGTTTAATTAATCCTACAACTAATGATTAGTAAAATTTCACAGGTTAATTCGTTTTGTAATAAAATGAACGATGCTTCATTGCATCAAATGCATTTAGTTCGTTTTTAAGTATCAAAGGCATATAGGGTAGACATAGCAATAGTACTTGATCTCTTCTCGTAACAAACAAAAATATGTGATTCTTTATGCACTTTGCATTTACATGATATTAGTTAATTTTGAGCTAAATCGCTGATATGCTTCATTCAATAGCAGCAAGATACAGAAGGAATTGGTCTGGGACTAGCACTCAAAACCATGATATTTTTTGTACACTGGTAGAAGAGAAATAATAAGTTAAACATATGAATACTTGAAAAGGAAAAGCTTTCTCATACAGTATTTTCAAGTTTGGCATCTGTGAAAATTCTGGTGGTAGATAACCTGATAAGTTATTATTGTCCAACAGGCTGCAAATCCATGGATATAAGATGATTATAAGTGCCCACAATTAGTGACAAACACAAGAATATAGGAAGTTGTTCCGTTAAAAATAACACGCGCAATGCTATTGATTATCACTGAGCTTACAAATGCTCAAGTTGAGGCATGGTGAAGAGCTCTGGTGGAATCTGACCACTAATTGAGTTGTTGTTCATGTGACTGCGGTCAACAAAAAGCATAAAAAAAAAAGATTATTAATGCAATTACTTCCTAATATAAAAGCATTTAATTTAAATATATATTATTTACTCACAAGTGCTTGCACTTGGCCAGATTTGCAAAAGATTTGGGCAGTGATCCTGATATCTGATTCAAATCAACCTGAAACACCACTAACTTGGGCAGATAACCAAGCTCGTCTGCTAAAGATCCAGAAAGCTGATTTCCACTTAAAAGCCTGCAACCACGAGTAGTCTTGTAAGCTTTGTGCAAAGAAAATTTGTAATATTTTTAACAACAAATATCTTGCTCTATTCTCCGGAAAAAAACACAAAACAAAAGAGAGAAGCATATCAAGAACTATTTCTTAGTGATCATGTAATCATCTCTATCCCCAATCAGATGATGGATGAATTCAAAGAATCACATCTGAACTTACTTGCACAAAATAAGAACTTAGAAAATTTAAAAATAGGAGACAATGCTCACCTAGTAGTATTAAACTTACAGAAGAATGCTGATACTTAATGAAGAAAAATGCCAACTAGATTTTGAAAGTTCTGTCCCTCATTAGTATGTCCCACAGTGTTATTATGTGCTTTGAGTTATAAACTTTATAAATTCTACTAGCCATTAATTGATTATATATCATCATTTTATTTGTATCTTATCTGCAAAAAAAAATATCTGGACCTAACATATTAAAACTGCCTTTACACTTGTTTTGCCAGTGGAGAAAGCAGTTTGTCTTGCTAAGCACAAAATTTCTTTCCAATCTATAAAACGAGAGAAAGCTAGAAATTTGTCACAGCCATCAGCAAGGAAGAACTACCATGGATAAAGTCTCTGATAGGAAAAAATTTCTTTTGTTTGTTTCTGAATAGGAATTACTTACAGAAACTTCAATGATTTTATATTGCCTATCTCCTTTGGTACACTGCCAGTAATATTATTCCCCATAAAATTCCTGCCCAAATTGAAGGAACAGAAGTAGTAAGTTATTGATGATGATGCAAGAATTTGACAATAGCTCAATGACATAATATCTCCAGCAAGATCAACCCAAAACTTAGGTGTTGATCTGATACCACTTACAATATAGTCAAATTAGGTAGTTGGCCGATTTCAGGGGCAAGATCTCCAGAAAGATTCAATTTTAGCATCCGCCTGCATCACAGCAGAAACCAGGCAAAACAGTAAACATTATCTTGATGTGTAAATTAAACAGACCATCTTAAGTCTAACATTTCACTAATGTTATGGACTGTTGTCTTAAAGGCCACTAGTGAAGTGAAATTATATCACTCTCCTATTCTTCTTTTGTTTAAAAGAATTGGCCATGTGGATCCATCACCTTAACCACTTGAGGTGCATGTCCATATAAAACAACTTAGCTCTTAAGATAAGAAAATCATGCAAGTGACAAAGTGAGAGGAGAAAAATGCATCATCTGAGTAATCATTTGGTGCTGAGATTATTAGTTCCCAAAATAAAAGTTGTTGCCTCATATCAAGGATAGATGTCTTCACTCTTCAATTAAATGCACAGTTTGATAGGGATATCACAAAACAATCAAAAGTCTGATATTGTAGAAATAAACATTTCAAAGATGAAATTATAATAACAAAAGTTAGATTAAAAAATCAGAATAATCAGAACAATCAGTAAGGAAATGAATAAGCATACAATTCATGAACATGCCAATAACCATCATCTTGATACGTGCAGATTACCCCAGTCCATTTTGATACACATGGATCTCTTTTTGTCCAGTTTCTGAGGTTTTTCATTGGATCTTGGAGTTTACGCCAAATGCCATTCAGTGCGTCAACTGTAATTCAACACAAACAATCATTTAATAAATGATTAACGATTCAACATGATGAAACACTAAATGGTCTCTAGAATTTATCATTTTCTCTTCTTATGAACTAACAAAATATGAGCCCAAAGAAAGAATGTAAACCCAAAACAACATCAACCTTCAGATGGATAAGTAAGCTGTCCTGAAGCAAGAAGAGCAAAGCAACATGAAACAGCAATAAGAACAATACTTAGTATTGCCTTTGCCATCTGTCAAACATACATATTCAACACAAAACATTCTTATATCAGTACAAATATATTAACGAAAAGGTCATTAAAATCTATATGAAGAAAAAGGATTGCAATAAATTACTTCATAAAAGAATTCTAAAAAACACATTTATTATATTTGTGTAAAAATTATTTTTAAAAAAAAGGAACGAAACAAACTCTAGACTTCTTAATTAGCAAAATAAAAAGTGTGAAATGCATGCCTTTCTTTCCTGTTCTCTTTATTCTTTATGGGAACCACAACAAGATAGTGTTAATGCATATAAGAGCATTAAAAAGACGAAATGTTAAGGACAAGCAAAAGAGAACAAAGTCATACAGACTATCTAAAGATGGTACCAATTAATTTTGTGTCATCCATCCATCAAGCCTAACAAAAATTTTTTTTTTTTCAATTCAAGAAAATTTAATACTTGAAATTAATCTTAAATTACTTCGATATTTTAGTAAAAATTTAAGAATATTTTCTCACTTTAGGAGTATTCAAAATATCTATTAACACTCTTGAAGCAGCTCTCGTCGGATCTAAAAAAAATTTTTTTGTTGGTTATTTTCTTATTAAAATCTTTAATATTGGACAGTTTTCTAAATACTCTAATATTTTAGCACTATTTAGAAAATAATATATTGCCTAAAAATTTAAGTAGAAATTACTATTGCAACCTTTTAGTAATTTCATCATTGGAAAATTTAAAAGTTTCATTTTGTAATTTTTAGAAAAAGATTGATATTTCAATTTTTTCTTAAATATTTTTTCTTAAAAATTTATTCTAAAAAAATTGATATTTCAACTTTTTTCTCAATATTTTCAAAATTATTTTATTTGTTTTTATTGTTAAAGAATTTAGAAAAAATGATATTTTAACTTTTTTGTAAATATTTTAAAAATTTTATTCCAAGAAAAAATTGATATTTCAATATTTTCCTTAGCATATATTTTTAACAAACAAAAAATTTTATTCTTAATCTTTTATTTTATTTTTTATTATTTTTGTTTTCAAAGAATTTAAGAAAATTTGATATTTCAATATTTTCTTAAATATTTTCAACATTTATCTTAAATAAAATTTAAGTTAAAACATTTCCTTTTCCATGCAAATTTTTAAAATGTTTCTAAAGTCACATCCAAAATTCACCCAAAAATAAAATAGAGAATTGCAAAAATAGTAATAAAGAATATAAAAAATACAACAAAAAAATCAAGTAAAAATTAACAATATATATATAAAGAAAAATATCACAAATGCCTTGGTAAACTCAGGTCAACGGTTCAGTGATTCAAGCAGTTGCATAGTTTAGAGTGGTTCAGATTGGTTCAACAGTAGTTTCCATGACTTGAAACTATTTGATCAAGTTTAGTGCCAATTTGCAAGCAATTCACCTAAACCTATCTAGGGCTCAAACCTTTGGTCAGATCTAAAACCATGTGTGGATCTTGGCATTTTTTTTTCCACTTATAAAACTCTAAGTTTTTTTTTCTTCTTCGTTGCATCCTTTCTCTGAAAAAAAACCTCTCAAACTCTTTTATTTTTTTCAGACAACCAGCCACCATTTTTCAAAAACTGACGATCGATCATCATGCCTATCATTATTTATTGCCACTAGCTGCTAGTCATCCGCATTTGTTGGATTCCAAAATTCAGTAAAAGGTTCCCCTTGACCCCCTTGTTATCATTGTGACCTTAGTTTTTCCTAAAATAGTCTCAAGAAACCTAAATCTACTCTTAAAGTTTCAGGCAAAACTTTTTGAGATCTTGAGCCTCACCATTCCAAAAAAACCCAATTTTTTACTATGTTCTTCACCTTCCCAAGACCTTCTTTTCACCCAAAAAGCTAAGCTTAAAATCCTTTTAAAACTTCAAAATCGAGACCTTCTTTCTTCCTTAGTATTTTCATTTTTTTATATATTTATTTTGCTTTTCTCTGGCGTTGTTGTTCCTCACTCTCCTTGAGGGATGTGATTTTTTTTTATTTTTGTGAGAATTTTTAGGGTATTTGGTAATGAGTCTCGGGTCTATAGGTTTTTTTTTTTGTTTATGGGCTTTTTTTTTTTGTAGAGCTACCAACAGTGGGTAAGGGAATGGGTTTTTGATGGTGTTTGTGGACAATGATAGGTAGTAACTTGGTTGGTTTGGCTATAGGTGTAGAACGATTTTTTTTTTGTAGTGCTCTTGTTTAAGATTGGCCTAAAAAATTTTCCCCCTAAATTCCCTCTCTATTGTTTGTGATTTTCATTTTCATTTATGGAATGAATTAGGTGTTCAAATCCCAGATTTTCTAAGATCACAGAAGAAATTTTGAACCATTGCAGAAGACTTTTAGAAGATTCAGTAGGTGGCTAGGCCTGAAAAATGGAGGGCGATAGAGTGGTTGGTAGCATGATTTTAGCTAACAGCCCTATAGTGTTGCTAAAAAAATTTTTTAACTTTTTTTGTTCATTCATTTTTTTTTAATTTTAATTTTTCTTAATTTTTAGTAAAAAGAAAAAAGAATAAAATTAAGTAAAAATTCAATTTCTAATGGGCCTTAACAAGTGCATTGCACTCTCAGGACTTGACTTAATAAGTTTCAAAATAAACAATTGGCTTAAACAAAATTAGATGTTTACAGCTATCTTTTTTTGTACATTACTAAGAATTATTATAGGGCAAAGACCAAAAGGCAACAATTTTGTTCGGGAAGCTTGATTTTGATATTTCAATAATCCATTAGTTTTTTGCTTATTATTTGCAAAAATTTATTCTTAGTAAAAACAATTTCTTGAATTATCCTAACACTTAAAGTGAAATTCAAGAAATATTTTTTTACTAGAAAAAATAGAACTTTTTCAATTTTCCTTAATAATTATTTTTTAGTTTTATTAAATTTTATTAAATCTAACTAGAGGTAATTAAACTTTAAAAAGCTCCTCTAACTAAAGGCTATAATACTTGAAAAAATCTTCAAACCAGAAGCTACAGTATTTTAAAAAACTCCTATAACTAAAGGTAATAATACTTTTAAAAACTCCTTTAACCAGAAGCTATGATATTAAAAAAAAAAATCCTCTAACGAAAGGCTATGCCATTTTAAAAACTCATTTAACTAGGCTATGGCACTTGAAAAATCTCCTTCAACTAAAGGCTATGACACTTTAAATAAAATTCTAAAAGGTCTTATAATTATGCTCCTTGGTCTTATAAATCATGCTTAATTTTGAAATAGTCTTTTAACTAGAGCTCTTAAACTTAAAAAACTCCTAACCAGAGGCAATGAAACTTAAAAAACTCTTAACTAGAGGCTATGACACTAAAAAATAAAAACTTATTTGGAAAGAACCTCAAAGATTCTTATCTGAAGAAATAAAAGATAAAAAATTTGATATTCATATCAAAAGTTTTCATCTTTGAGATTCTCATCGAAAGCTCGAGATTCACACTAAAAGGTTTTTGAGATTCACATCGAGGGTTCGAGATTTACATTAAAAGTTTAAGATTCACACCAAAGTATTCTTAAGATTTATATCAAGAGTTTTTGAGATTTACATCGAAGGTTCAAAATTCACACCAAAAAGTTTTTGAGATTCCCATTGAAGGTTCAGGATTCACACTGAAAGATCCTTAAGATTTCATCGAGTGTTTAGGATTCACACTAAAAATTCGAGATTCACATTAAAAAGTTCTCAAGATTTGTATTAAAGGTCTTTGATATTCATATCAAAAGTTTGATCTTCATATCGAAAAGTCCTCAAAATTTGCATCAAGGGTTCAAGATTCATATTGACAGTTCAAGATTCATACTAAAAAGTTTTCGAGATTCGTATCGAGAGTTCTGGAGATTCACATTAAAGGTTAGGGATTCACACTAAAAGGTCATTGAAATTCACAATAAGGGTTTAGGATTCTCACCAAAAGGTCTTTGAAATTCATAGTAAGGGTTTGGGATTCTCACTGAAGTTCAAGATTCACACTAAAAAGTTCTTAAGATTCACATAAAAAGTTATCTAGATTCACATCAAAGGTTCGAGATTCACACCAAAAGATTTCGAGATTTGCATCGAAAGTCTTCGAGATTCAAATCAAAGGTTCAAAATTTGCATAAAAAATATCTTTGTCTCAACAGGCTTTGAGATTCATATCGAAGGTTTAGGATTTACACTCAAAGATTCTTGAGATTTACATAAAAAAATTTTCATATGTCTTTGGATATTGCCATTGAAGGGTTTTGATGAAAACTTGAATACTCAGATATCACTACGAATGAATTTGATTAAAACTTAAATACTCGGATATCACCATCGAGATTTAAAATTTTAGAATTTGAACACTTGGATAGTGCCATCGATTTTTCTTTTTTGTAGAAAAATTCTTTTTATTCTTTTTATTTCTTGAATATCATTTATCTTTTTTAATTTTTGGCAACTCTTCTCATTTTTCCTGAACTGATTTTTTTTTATACTTTTTCATTCGATTTTTTTTTTGTTCTTAATAGACTCTTTTTTCATTCTTTGCTTGACAAACCCTATTTTCTTCATGATAATTTTCTTCTTTTCCTTTTTTTTGTTTTTATTTTTCCTAAAAGAATATTTATATTCTTTATTTTTTCTCAATGTTTGCAAAATTAACAAATGCTATTACGATGCAAATGTTTAATCTTAAGATAAATGGTGAAAATATGAATATCTCTTCACCAATGCAAATGATGTATAATTCTTTTCTAGAATGTACCTAACAAAATGCTTAACAAAGATACAAATGTAGAACTTATCCTAATGATGCAAATGCCAATGTCCTTTTCATGTAGATACCTTTGCATATACTTTTTCTCTAATGCAAATGCAAATGCAATTATGCAAATGCAAATGTTTTTCTTATGATGTAGATGCAAATAATGTAAATGCAAATGTCTTTTTTATGATACAAATACACTGGTGCAAATACGAATGTGAATGTCTTTAACATAATGTAGATGTCAGTTATGCAAATGTAAATGTCTTTGTTGTGATGCAAATGCCACAATCCAAATACAAATGTGAATGCGAATACCTTCTTCATGATGCAGATGCACTAAAGCAAATGTGAAATTTTCAACTACCATAAAACCAATGCAAAGATTTTTTTTGTTTCATTTCTCTTTTTTTTTTCAAGAACAAAGTCTTTTTTCAAATTCTCATCATTCAGAATTTTATTCATCACAAAAATGCCAAAATAGTCATAAAATTTCCTCATAAAATTTTCAAGATCAATAAAATATAAAAAGTGTATTGACTTTTGAGTCCCTTAAAAATTAATGACTGTTATTTGGAATGCCTGTTAATAGGGAGATTGCTAAT